GGTATGGCATTGGGCTTTTCATTTCAAATTGAAAGGAGTTTAGAAAAATTAGCTTTCAGAAGGCAGCTGGAATTACCAATTATATCTGGTCACGGAGCAGACACAGACACCTTCACTGGGAAGATCGACTAGGCAGATTTCCAACTAGTACAGAGAGCTGGTCGGATGCCCTCCTGTGGGAGAGTGAGGATACAACACATTTTTGTCCTGGTTTTAAATCTGGAGTGAAATGCTTATTCAGTATTAATTCAAGGAATAAAGCAGCTCTAAGGTTAGGGAAGCTACAGAGCAGATCTGAGCTAAAAACAGTTCGTGGTCCTTCATAGTTCCCGTCCACCTGCTTTAGGCTGGTTTTCCCGAGTCCAGAGAAACATGCCAATGAACTTGCTACTCGGGCAAGGTGTCTGCCTAACACTCTCAGGGAACTCAGCCCTGTGTGTGAAGGATGTCTGCAGCAAGGTGCATGGGAAGGATTGCAGCGCACTGGGGGAAGCATTCAAGAAACGCCAACACCTAAAAACTAAAAGCTAAGGCAGAATTATCAACCACTGTTGAAGAAACAGTCCCATCACCGAGGAAATGAGTGGAGTTGATAACACGGAGCCTGACAATATGAAGAATTCTGAGCACCATTAAGAAAAAACTCCCAAAAAGAAATGGAAACAGAAAATGTGACACCAAATCTGGTAACATGAAGGGAAAAAATGCCGTATTTTCCAAGGAATAGCAGTGAGTGGACGAAAATCAGAGACAAGCAAGATCAAAGAGAAGGCACTGCGTGTGTACTAGCGATTCCCCCAAACAACCCCTGTGCGTTTCCAAAAATGAGGGTACAAGACCCTCATAGAGGAAATTAAGAGTCAAAACAAACTGGTTAAAGCCCACCACGAAGCAACCCAGCATTCTTTGTAAATTCTGTAGTCTGGGGAAAATAACAATAAACTAAGACTTCAAAGGAAAATCTAAAGAAAGCGAATATGGCCTTAAAGTAGATTTAAGGAAGTCTGAATGTGATGACACAACTAATGGTTATGGATCTGAATCTCCAGAAAAGAATGTTATTCCTCTAAATGTTAGTGGAGTTAAGCTCATAAAGAAAAGTGCATGTAAAATTGGTTTTGAAGTAGTGGAGAGATTGTTTCAAGGTCAGCTGATGTTACGACTTGTTTGGGATGTTGTTGACTCAGTGGCGAGAACTGTAGCAGACGACGCCCACGGTGACTGGCATCGTTGTACTGAAGCCAAGTAGAGCCGTTCATTTGATAAAATGGCGAAGTTCTTACTCTTTGTAGTGCTTTGCTGCTCCTGGCTTGGACTTTGGTTGCTGTGCTGGTGGGCGTTCCAAGATCCGCGCTCCTTTATTGAAGCCTGGTAGACTCACTGGAAGAATGGGATCCAAAGCCAGCTAATAACAGTTAGGAATGAATGCACGGTGGCATTACAATTAGTGGGCATCACACTGCTTCTGTTAGTCACTTACCTCAACAACAGAGAAGTAGATATGGGGAGGTTTAGGGTTGACCGTATGTGTGAAATAGTTAAGACAGAGCCATTGAACTAGGACAAAGCAAAAGATGTGCCTGAAAACTGTGATGATGAAGACCTGTCTATCTGAGCTGATGGAAATGCACATCCCTGCAAAGTTTTAAAAGAATCAGCAGCAAAAAAAAAAAAAAAAAAAAAAAAATGTGTTAACAAGGATGTTAGGTCACTTACAGCATCCTTCCTCAGAGTGGGGCTGGCCCGGGGCTGGCCTCTGCGTGGTGCTGCTCCCTGCTGAAAATCTTCCAGGGCTCTCAGGAGAGAGATGAGGGCTGACAGACTGTGATGCTCTCGTCCCTAGGTGCCCTGTTCCAAGTGCAGCTTCAGGAGTCAGGGCCTGGCCTTGTGAAGAATTCACAGACCCTGTCCCTCCCTGCACTGCCTCTGAATTCTCTTTTTTAATGTATTTTATTTTTATTTTTATGTGTATGAGTATATTGCACCATGTAGGTGCTGGGAATTGAACCCAGGTCCTCTGCAAGAGCAGCCAGTACTCTTAGCCGCTGACCCATCTCTCCAGCCCCCCTGAATCCTCTTTATCCAGCTATAATGGACACTGTCTCCACAGCCTCCAGGAAAGGGCCTAGAGCTGCAATGTGTGGTGACGGTAACACAGCCTACAGTTCAGCTTCACTTCCGAATCCGTATCAGCAGGGACACCTCACCTCCAAGAGCCAAGTTTTCTTAAACTGAACAGACAACAACCTAAGGACACAGCTGTGTGTTACCCTACAAAAGACACAGAAAGTGGACCTCAGGGTGAGCACAGCACAAACCTCCCTTCGAGGATTCATAAGACCAGCAGGATGCACTCAGGACCAGCAGGGATACCCAGGACCCAGAGGGGCCACTTCTGAGCATAAGAAGTTCAGAGCTACGTGTGTCCTGTAGCTGGTCCAGGCCATGCTTAAGGCTACTTCGGTGACTGAGTCTGCGGTTTTCTCTTCTGGTCTCTTCACTTTGCCCTATTCTGTGAAAATTTAAATTAAAGCTAAAAATATAAAGAGAAGAAGGCTGATAGGTCACGGCTCCAAGAAGAGACAGGGCCAGGGCTGCAAGACTCTAAGTAGGTCAGTTGAAAGGACCTTGACGGAGTTGAAAAATGAGGCATGTGGTGACTTTTCACTGAGGGAAGTCCAGGAATACAACTTGACTCCATAGCCCTTAACATATATGACAGGATGCAAGAAATCCTATGGGGGCGCTATGGACGGTACAGATAGGGGAGGGTGCATAACAGTAATTAAGATGTTTTGTATGAGGAGAGGGTGGGTTCCGACCTCCATCTGTGCAGAGGCTGTGATCTCAACAGACCGCCAGGGAGTGCCTGTTCCCGCCTCCCTCTGGCATAGAGGCTGAGAACACAAGGGACTCCCTGAGAGTGCCCAGATCCTGCCTCCACATGCTAGTGAGCTTCCCCTAATTAGTAACCAACCTCCTAACTGGGATTGTGTGAGGCCCTTCCCAAGGCCCCTGGGCAGACCTGGGGGGATAGGATAAGGCTGAGATTCTAGCAGACAGCCTGAGAGGGCGGGTTCTGACCCATCCGTGTACTGTGATCTTAGCAGACCACCAGAGAGTACCTGTTCTGGCCTCCCCCTGGCATAGGGGCTGATAACTCAGCAGACAGACTGAGAATCCCAAAGTCGGCCCCCTCCTAGGGAACTTCCCACATTTTGCTCTGAGTTCCAGCTAGTAGGAGTCCAAACCTTAGAAGGAAGGCTGAGTGTACCTGACTGGAACCTGACTTGGGCTTCTGTGGGAGCTCCTGAGTAGCTACTCTGAAGCCATCATTTCATGCCAAAATAAAACATGAGAGAACCTGAAACCTGGACCAACCAAACCTGGACCAATAAGAAAACAACCAAGGCACCCCGATAATACAAACAGAAGCTACCTCAACTTAATTCTCATATCGGAATCACAAACAACAAAAGAAATTCACATACCAAAATCACAACAAACTAATAAAATGGAAAGCTAAAACACTATGTCCCCACCAAACTCCACCAGTCCTGTAGAGGAGTTCTGCAAGAACCCCCTAGAGATAACCCAGGACACAGAATTTAAAAGAACAATCATAAACTGATCAAGGAATTCAACGAATTTAAAGAACACATGAGTAAACAAATCAAAGAACTAAAAAAAATAGGGATAAACCAGAATGAATTCACAAAAGAGATAGAAACATTGAAGAAAACTCAGACAGAAATGAAGAAGGAAGTGCAAAACGCAGTAAGCCAACTTGAAACAACAGGGGAAAGCCTCACCACTAGAATGAATGAAATGGAAAACAGAATATCAACACTGGAGAATGAAGTTGAAAAACTGGACCACTCAACAAAGATTATGGAAATTTTTTGAAAACACAGGAATGGAGAGGATGTGGAGAAAGGGGAGCACTCATTCACTGCTGGTGGGATTGCAAACTCGTGCAGCCTCCATGGAAAACAGCGTGGAGAACTCTTAAAAAACTAAAAATGAACCTACTATGTGACCCGGTTATACCACTCCTTGGCATATACCCAAAGGACTCATCCTATTGTAGAGACATTTGTACAACCATGTTTGTTTCTGCTCTTTTCACAATAGCTAAGAGATGGAAGCAACCTAAGCGTCCCTCAACTGACGAGTGGTTAAGAAAATGTGGTATACTCACACAATGGAGTTCTATTCAGTAGTAAGGAAAGATGAACTAAACAGATGGACCTAGAAACTGTTATACTAAGTTAAGTAACACAGACTCAGAAAAACAAACGACGTATGTTCTCCCTCATATGTGGCTCCTAGCACCAAATCCTTTTAAATTCCAGGTCCTTTTAATAAGATGATGCTCTACAGCAGTCCCTTCTACATGAAATAACTACCATCATCATGACTTGAGCAGTGCCTGATCGCTAAACATAGTCACAATTGGCTTATTGATGGTCGTGCTCATTCATTAAAGGAGGGCCAATCATGGTCAAGGGACCCTCACTGGAGTATCCAGCCACTCTTGCCAGCCAACGGTCTGTAATTTGGCCCCAAGCACACATGGTCTCCTGGATTTGGGTAGAGCTAAAGTATACAGTCTGGGGAAGGCTAGGAAGAGAAGGCATGACCCATGCTGGGTAAAGGCTTTCCAGTGTGCATACCCTCAGGTCATACATACACCTCAGCAAACCCTCAGTTATCTCAGTAAGTAAGCTCAATAAGTTCATTGGTTCCCCAGTAGGCTTTAATTAAACATTTGTTTGACACTAGAAACTTAAAAGGGAATAGGCATTGCTTAGTATCCCCGGGAAAAGAATTCTCACAACAGATGGAAGATTTATTTGTTGTTATTATGTCTCACAGTTATTTTTTTAAAAAAAGAAAAGAAAAGAAAAGAAAATGAACTTTTAATGACGAGGGGGTCGGAAGGTAATGTGCAGGGTTTAAGAGGGCCGAAGGCTAGGCTGTGCGTGGGTGGGTGGCCGGCAGTGATGACATTCCACCATTTGCTCGTGTTAGACTACTGATGTGGGTGATGCGAATCGGAGCCTGAGCAGACTGGGGGAGAACAAAAAATTAAAGATGTTAAAAGGATATGGGAATGGAGATATTTTCCAAAATAGAAAAAATGAGAAAGCCTAAGCAAGTGATGAAGGTCTATGTAGGTTTGTTATGATATATAAAGGATGAGACAAAAATACCAAACACATAATCTTAAAATTTCTTAGATCATAGTTTAGTCAGCTAGTTTAAGGAACAAAATACATGTCTAGTCAAAGTTTATCTGAGAATATTTGGTTTTTTATCCAAGCTTTATCTACATAGCACATGGTAAATGGTAATACCAGACTGGTGAAACTAACCTTATTGGATGTTTAATAGCCATACTTCGAGGCCTATACTAATGTGGTCAGAGGGACATAAAGGACAGTTTTTGCTCTTTGCCCTCCTAGGTTGACTAAGTTCCAGGGGACTATAAGCATCTGTCAAAATGTCCTGTAACTGTGGTGAGTCACCTGTCCTCTTGTTCAGGGAGGACGTGGAGACCCCACCAGATGGACTTGAACCAGTGTCAAGTCTACAAAGAGGAGGGTCAACACAGAGGAAACATCTCATTCATGCTTCCAAGCAAAGCCAGCCATGGTCAAGTAGGACCTTTGACTTATATTCACATGGATGGAACTGGTGAAAGAAAGGAGCCAGGGGCTCCTCCCAAGCCCATGTGACCCCTGAGGAACAGATCCTCAAAGGACCTTAAGTTTAAATATAAATTGATTTATTTGGGCCAACTGTATGGTCTTAAACACCTGAAAGGAAAGTATAACCAAAGATTAAGGTGATCAGTATATTTCTCTAAGAGTTCAGGGGATTACACTTCCCAGACATTACACTTAAGTTCTAATGTTATAAAAACTTATTTAGAGAATTATTTCTCATTGATGATTTTGTTCTGAATCAGAAAGTGCAGCTCAGATGTAAGACCTCAAATCTTGGTCTCCAATACTGTAGTGCCCACCTGTAGCTAAGGGAGACAACCTGCTACTGTTCTAAAAGGATGGCCAAATTTGTTTTCTCCCCCATCTAGAAATCCTTCAGAGGGAACCGACACTGATTCTAACCACTCCAACAGCTACCAAAATACCTGAAAGCAAATCCTGAATCCATCACTCTAGAGTCCAGCCTTGGAAGACAAAAGAAAAATGAGGAGGAACCCAATAGAGGGATGCTTTTGGAAGCCTTTGTCAAGAATTCCAATGGACTCTCATATGAACATTTGAAAATTACCCTGTTCTGACTTTTTTCTAGTTCCCTGTCTAGAACTTGTAATGCTAATTACTCTTGCCTTTACGGCAGAGATGGATCTTTCCACCATGAGGTCCCACGGATAGAACTCAGGTCATCATGCTTAGTGCACATGTCTTTACATGCTGAGTCATCTAAACAGTCTATTGTTATATGACTTAGTACGTTGTTTATACACATACACATAAGCACACACACATAGCAATTAAAGAAGTGGTCAAAAAATTGCCAGGGACTGGGGGATGCAGAAGGATCTGGAGTAGGAACAGAGAGGTTTGGAAATGATGTAAGTTCAGTTCCCATGTATGAAATCCTCATGAAAATACGAAATTTAAAGAAAAATAATAATTATAGGAATCTGTGATTCTGAGTAGTAAGAATATTAATAACCTGATTTAAAGCATGTGAAAGAACATAGCAGATATTTTTTAAGAGAAATGGGGGCTGGAGAGATGCTCAGTGGTAAAGAGCACTGGCTGCTCTCACAGAGGACCTGGGTTCGAGTCCTAGCACCCACATGGTAGCTAACATTCATCCATAATTCTAGTTCCAGAGGAACTGTTGCCCTCTTCTGTCCTCTGCAGGCGTTTCATTACATAGGTGCACTTACATACATACAGCCAATATACTCATATGTGCAAAATTAAAATAATAAATAAAATATTTTAAAGACATACATATGGATCACCAACACCATTCATCAATGTCATAGCACAAAGCCAACACTGTTAATCTTTGGAGAAACTGAAATTAAAGGGAAACAAAGCAGGAAGTTTTGTCTGGTGGATGCCACTGATTTACCAGAAGAAGGGATGGGAACAAGTCTCTGTCAGGATGTGGAGAAAAGGGGCCAATCGCCCCATGTTGATGGGACACAAGTTAGTGCGGCCACAGGGAAATAGACTGCAAGTTCCTCAAAGTTTTCAGAACAAAATAACCATGGGATCCAGCAAGCTCACCTTTGGCACCTATTCAAGCGAAGTGAAAAGTTTCCTTAGAAGTTCAGGATTCTGCACTTCCACGCTCAGGCCAGCCTTAGTCACAGATGCACTGCTAACCTCCTTCATGGATGAATAAATGAAACACTGTACATAAGCAGAGCGAAATATGAAAACTTAAGAAAGAAGTAAAACCTGTCAGTGTTACACAGGGAATTAAAAGACAGTGTCTTGAATGAAACAGCCCAGGAACCCAAACCCACATTCTATAGGATCGCTTATGTGCAGAGTCTCAGGGAGTTCACACTTTAGATGCCAAGCGCCAAGTGGCCACCACAGCGGTGGAGCCTTAGAGGAAACTGGAAAGAAGATGGTGATGGAGTGTGGAGTTCAGTCTACACTAGAGCGACAGCAGTTAGTGACATGGGCATGCACAGTGACCATAGTCAGCAGGAAAATACTCACACTGTGAAGTAAGAAATTTTCAAAATTCTCTCCACAAAAAACAAGCTACTGACAAGATTCGAAGGCTCATTAGTTTGACTAAATGTGTTCTCATGTTCAGAACTGCAATTCATCAGTTTATTGTTCCACTGCATATATATGCCATGGCCACAAATGTATAAACCTATATGAAATATAT